ATTCCAAGAGCTGCTGCTTGGGGATGGAAAACAAGGGGCTGAAACGTGGAGAGCAGTTGCTGCCTCACTGATACCTTCAAAAACCTTCAAAGTGCCACCAAAAAACCAGGGCTTGGGTGGTGCCTTGGTGCTTGGTGGTACCGTTTCCAAGCTAGGAGCAGAGCGGGTTCCTAAGCCCGCTCTCCTCGAGCTGATCCACCTGCACGAAGCTGGGGGAAGCGGAGCGGCTGATCCGTGTTCCTCATGGTGCCGGTGGATTAGAGCTCTCCCGCAGCCGCTTCTTGTTTCCCTCCTCGAGCTGATCCACCTGCACGAAGCCGGGGAAGCGGAGCGGCCGATCCGTGTTCCTCATGGTGCCGGCGGATTAGAGCTCTCCCGCAGCTGCTTCTTGTTTCCTGCTCGGAGCGCCGGAGCGGGAAGGCTTGGAATGACCTTTCCATGCAGCCGCGTGGCCTTTCCAGTGCACGTCGGATGCGCCCGCTCCTCTCCTTCCGAGGTGACCCGGCACTCAGGCTGCCTTCTCGCTTGGCAGGCAGGCAGCGAAGTGCCAATTAAACACCCGTCCGTGTTACCTCCCTTCTGTCAAATCTGTGGCTTCCTGTTCTCGCCGCGCCGAGCCCTGCAGAGGAGGTGACGGGAGAGCAGCGCCGATAAAATCAGAGCGCGCTGCGCCGCCGAGGTGCCTCGTTCTCAGGATGTGCTTGTGGTTGGAGGGGGAGAGGAGCCTGGTAGCGTGCGGCTTCGGCCTGGGCTTTCTTCGGGAAGGAAACAGAAACTGGATGTTTTGCTGCAGAGCAAAGCGGGACAGGGGCTGCCAGTGCAAACCAAGATGAAATTGGGTGCCGGGAGGGCAGACAGCGACGCTTGGAGAGCAAACGGGTGCTGCTTTCATGCAGCTGGGGTGCAGGAAAACGAGTTTGCATTAAGCATTGGCAGAGAGACAGGAATAAGGGCTGGATAGAGATCAGTCTTGCTTCAGGGGGGTCACAGGAGATATCAGGTGTTTCCCAGCTTTGCAGGGATGCTGCAGGCGCCAAGTAGCAGAGCAGGTAGCAGTTTCCCTGGCGAGGGCTTGGTTTGCCTTTGGACCCGGCATATTTTGGGTGAGACTCTGCCATCTGCTCTGTCTGCCGTGTCATTGCTGCAGGCAGCCAGCTGGGCCAGGCAGAGGGCCGGGGATTTCGATATGGGCTAAGCAGGCTCGGATGAGTCAGCTTTCTGCTGACCAGCCCCATAGCAAACAGCGGGACAAACTTTCTCATGTAGCAGCTCAAAATGCAGGTCGATAAAAATGAGTGCTTGGGCGTATAATCTCTTTCCATCTGTCTCCTCCGTCTATTGTTTATATCAGCAAGATTCAGTTTAATCACAAGCAAAGCCTGTTCGAATGCCAGCATAACCCAAGTTGTCCTCTGGGACCGTCTCTCCCCATCACCGCCCAAGGGTGTCTGGTTTCTCACATCTGAGGATGCTCCGGTTGGTTTCGTTGGGGTTGAGATCTGTAGATTTAAGGCTATAAGTAGCCACCATCCCATTTGACCTCTGCAGAGCTCTCTGAGGAATCCCGGTGCTTGTAGCCGAGCGAGGATGTGTCTTTCGGAATAACATCCCTTCCTGACGGATTGGCCCCCGGCGGCAGCGTGGTCCTTTTGCGGTTGTTTCTCCGAGCGAGGAACCGCGCGTTGTACCTTTATCCTTAAGACCTGCTCTAACTGTGCATCAGATCTTTGGCATTTAAGTCGTTTTGTGAAATCCTGCTTGCTGAAGGTTTGCCTTTCTCTTAGGCTTTTCTGTTATTTAATAGCTCTTTTATCTCTCCTAATGTGCCCAAAGGAGTTCTACGGCATCTGCGCAGTTGAAGGAAGGGTTGGCGTTAAGCAAAATTTTCTAGCTTTCTGATGATTGGGAAGACAAGAGTAGGGGTGGGGACAAGTAATTTAAGCAGGGTTTTATGTTGAAAAGTACCTGAAAAAGTAAATAGAAGGATCCAGACAGCTTCCATATGGGCAGAAGCCTTGGCACGAATCCGTGAGTTTTGACAACAGCAATCTACGTGGGGCTGATAAGCCAACCAAGAAACACTGTGTGCCTGTGTATCACGGTGAACTTAAGATCTGTTTTCAAAAACAGCCTCTTATTTTTCTGCATAGCAACTTTCATATTGAAGGTGTCTAAATGCTACAGAAAACAAAATCAGGCCTGTTGACTTGCAGCACGCAGCAACGTTGCACTGCCGGTTACTGCAGGAAGGGGTTAGAGCTGTGAAAATCAGCCCCAGGCCTTCTCATGCTGGGGTGGTGTTGAGTTAATATGATCACAGTCCATATAGGATATTTTTTTAGCATGTATGTTTTAATTTCCTGTATTTTAAGAAATAAATCTTATGGTATGGATTTTGTTTTCGCACTTGGCATGGAGCTGGTTTCACTGATTATCTAAAAGGCCTGATTGTGTTACAGGCGGTTCTGATTTCGCTGGAACAGTATCTGTGCCCCTGCTGTTTTCTCTTAACGTCACATAACCAGGTTCAAATTCAGCAAAGAGGTAGAGCGTTAGGATAAGCAGTGGCCCCTCTGCATTACTGAATGTCTCATTCAGTCTTGAACAAAGAGCTGGAGAAATTAAAGGAGTCCTCTCTCATGCCAAGAGACAGAAACACCTATTGCTTGAGCTGTGTTAAACTACAGTGTGCTAAAAGGTACTGTGGGAAATGACCATGTGCAGAAGAGCATTAAATTTAGAGGATTTTGCATTATAACTTAAGAAGAAACTACAAGTGCAGCTATCTACATGAAGCTGCTTTCTAGGTTTAGTGAAACTGTGGGTTTCAAAAGAAGAGAGTTAATAGTGTTATTAGCATCTAGGGAGCATTTTTCATCTCTGTGCTCTTCAGACATGAAGTCATCAGCATGTGACATGCTTCTGGCTACACTACTCCTGCTGCAGGGCATTTGGGACAGGTCTTTCCTGTCTGTGTGGAAAGGGCTCTGGGACAAAGTCTCGATCGTGGTTTCTGCAGAGCACATGACAGCAGCTCCCTGTTACCATAAGAGCCCACCAAGAGCCTTATGTTGGTCATTAGCATCACGAACAGAGCCAAGGAGCTAGAAGCACTGTGTGAAAATCGTGCAGCCATGGAAATTCAGCACTGGCTGGATCAAAGGATGGTCAAACTGTGAACTCGTGTTTTAAACTGACCAATTTCTCTTCCTCATCTTATCACTTCACATCTTTTTCTTCCTCTGTATCAGTGCCCAACCACTTCCTTCTCCTGCAGCAACTTGCTGCGTTGCTTTCTTTGCTTCTCATTATGTGTCTTTAACCTTTTTTGTTTCTAGGACTTCTGCCTCTGTTAGATGGGGACCTTCCCAGCAGGTCTGAGCTGGAGCTGTGTCCTTTGCTGTGCTCCCATGTACACGGTGGCTGTCCTCGGCTGGGGACTGCATCCCACTGATGCTCTTGATGGAAAAGTCAGGATGGAGGAGAAGGCGGCAGATGGTCCTATGGGCCATGAGGACCACGATCGCTTTAGCTTTTCCAGGAGCTTCCGACCCGTGGAGATGAGGGATGCCCACCCAATGGCACCGTTGCGGGTCACCCAAGGCTGACGCTGTCCCTTTCATGTCCCTTTGCAGCGGTGCAGGAAGAGAGGCAGAGGGGCAAGGACCGCAACGAGAACGAGGTGGAGTCCACAAGTAGCGCCAACGAGGACATGCCTGTGGAAAAGATCCTGGAAGCGGAACTCGCCGTGGAGCCAAAGACAGAGACGTACATTGAAGCCAACATGGGCTTGACGCCTAGCTCGGTAAGGGCCCGTTTTGGGAACATTTCAGGGTTCTGAAATGCAAATTCTTAACCCTGCTTTAGACTCTGTGGATGAGTTAAATGAAAGCATGAGGAAAGCAGCCCTGCTTCGAGGTGTGACCTGCCATGCCAGGGCATCTCTCTCCCAGCTGAAGGGACGGGTACTGTTCCCAGGGCTGCAGAGAAGCACGGATATTGTAAGGTGTAGTTAAAAGGGCTCACAGAGAAGGGTTTGTTCTAGTTACAGCCCTTAGTGCTAAAAGCCAGGAAGACGCTCTGTGCTCCGGAGAGCTCATAGTCCGATCCAACCAATAAACCCACCTTTGTAACCAAAGTGCAAAGAGATAAGAGCTGTAAAATCAGGGCGTGACTTTTCAAACGCTGCGTTGTGGTGCAGCTTTGCTCTCACAGGGGAAAACCTCGTAAAGAAGTGAGCTTTTCATTTCCTTTTGTGATCAGAGGCTTGTACGATCCCTGAGCCTGCTAGAAGCACCTGGGCTCTGAGAGGACCTGGTCCGAATGGCAGGTAAAATAGGGGAAGCCTGAGAAGCTGCAAAGAGGGAAATCATCCTCATCCTCTCTTCATATGAGGCTGAAGGACTCAGTAGGGAACACGTTATCTGGCAGGGTTTGATAGGGGATCTCAGATACAGGCTGTTCCCCGTAGGGGCCCTAGTGTGGGATGCTCTGTTTGGCCTTTACCTACCAGGGTACCTTATGGCTAACTTGCTAAGCAAGGCTGTCAAAGTTAATGTACTGCTAAGGACAGAGACGATTCCTAAATTAAACTCTCTAGGAGTGGATAAAGGGGTGTTTGCCTGTGCTTGAAGCCCAGGTAAGTACCGCAGGCCGCGAAACATCCCAACGAAGCAGCACAGGGTCCCCATCCCTATAAAGCTGCAATTGGCTTCTGGGGAGGAAGCAGCAGAGGCAGCTCTGCTGGGTTTAGTGAGGAGGTCAGAGCCCCTCCGACCTCTATCAGGATTAAAAATACTTAAGGGGACTTGTAGCCAGCGTTGTGCCGCCTTGAAAGCAAACCCCGGAGAGGGAGCTGAAATAAATGGCTTCGTCTGGCACTGCGTCTCCTCAGCCTCTTGGAGCAAATTGAAAGCTGGTTCCTGCATAATTCAACACGCATTACTGTGAACAGGGATGTGTGTTGCATCTAAATAGAAGCAGGAGGCTTGTTGAAATGCCCTATTATTGTCAAGCAGCTTCTGTCGGCGAGGTGACATTTGTAGCAGGTTTAGCAGATGTATGAGATCGGCAACGCGCGGTGACGAGGCCACCGGATGAGGAGAGGGGAGCTGGAGCCCTCCCGCCGGCCTGCTCGAGAGCTGCTGTGGTGGAAACGGAGGCAAATTCAGTCCTGAATGACACAGGCTAAAACACGAGCTGCTTCCTATTAGCCTCGTGTGTTGGGCCTTCGATTTGTGCCCCGTGTGTTGGCACTTCAGCGCTGCCAGCGGGTTAGGCAGCTCCGGCTTTGCCAGGACTTTTCCAAGGGGCTGTGCCAGGCTGGACGGAGCTGGCAGCGCTCCTGGGAGTTATTGTCCCCTCTCCCAGATACTGTCATGTTTGTGACCGTCCCCTCCCTGCCGCGGTGCCCCGGCCCGCTGATCTCAACCTTCAAAGCCTCCGTTTTGCCAGGCTCTGGTTTCTTCCCCTTGCTACAGCCCAGGGCACCAACCGTGGCGTTTTGGCTCAGGTTTCAAAGCTGGTGACAGGGGAGGACACTTGGGTTGTCCCAGTGTTTAGCCAGGGTGAAGCATGGGGGGGTTGTGCAGGGGATGGAAGGCAAAGCTCCATCAGGCCACCTTGCTGTCCCCCCAGCAGACGGGGCACGGTCACAGTTTGAAGGGTCTGATCCTTGCAAGGTGACAAGGTGCACAGAGGGTCTGATCCTTGCAAGGTGACAAGGTGCAGAAGAGCAGGGCTCTGAGCCACTCAGGCAGCTAAGGCAGAGCTGTGGGAGCCTGCCAAGACTTGGCATTTCAATGACTGCCACTAAAACACTCACTTGAAATAATTGCACCTGGGAGCCCTGATAACAGCTCTTCAGCCGCTGCAAATAGTGGCTAATTGTGACAGCTGACAGACTTGTGACAGTAGCAAAGTGGACAAGTCCTTTGGGAGGTTCTCCCAAGTGGTGAGTGGGCATTTTTGCGGGATTCCTCCATGGCCTGTGCCCAAGGAAGCCCTGAAACCCCTGCGTGCTCCCCTGCCCCTCGAGAGCGGGATGCAGCTGGATGCTGTCAGTGCATCCCACCTCTCTCTCAGCAGTAAGATGACACGCAAGGATGTATTTGCCACCCAAGCCCGTGTCCCCAAGGCCCCGTGTCCCAGCAGCTGAGAAGCTGGGCTCCTGCAGTATAAGCACCACCTTGCATGGGCTCCTGGCCACTGAAAGGCAACGCCGGTAACTGAGAGGTGTTATCCCCATTAGCTCTTAATTGGCCTTTGAGCAGCTGGTTTCAAGTCACTCTTTTCTGGAAGATGTCTCCAAGCTCCTGTTTTCCAGAAGGATCAGGTGCCCGAGTGTCCTTTCATTCTGTCACACGCCGGCACCGTGCCCTTGCTATTTACTGCAGGCGGGGATTTGCTTACCAAGCATGCGGAGGGTTTCTAGCCCGGCTTGGTAGACGCCTTCTCGGAGGCGGGCAAGGTTCTTTGAGCTTGAAGAAATAATACTTTCAGCTGTCTCTCCAGCTCCAGTGATTAAAATTCTGGCAGGAAACACCACCATGGTTCCTGGAACTGCAGGCTGAGGGGTAATTCAAGCATGCCCAGGGGCTTCCTGAAGCTCCTGACAAGCTCTGACTTTGCAGGCTGCTGTGAAGCACCAGAGGCTTCAAGATGGTGCACAGAAGTATAAGCCTCAATAAGAGCTTTGGCAAAAGCATCAGGTTGTGTTAAAGGACCCCTTCAAACAGCTCCAAACGCTGACTTTCCTCTTGTTCCCAATGAAATACCTAATCCCACAGAACTCCTCACACCTGGTTTAGGCGATCCTGGTGTCCAGAGGAAATCCCAGCTTTCTTTTCTCCCTCCTCCTGCCAGGGGACAACCCAGTCCCTCCTGACATCTCCCTTTTGGGAACAGCACTGGCTCCTGGGGCAAAACTCATCTGCCCTGAGCCCATCAGGGCTGCAGAAGGGTCAGAGCCAGGAAGGAAAAATCCGCTTAAGGAACTCGCAGCTCCTCAGCAGCAACACCGAACATGAGCCCGGGCCCATCCATCTCTGCAAGCAACAGGTGAAAATACTTGGATGCCTTGGAGCTTGCCAGATGCTGGTTATTTTAAGCCCTCAAGAGCAGCAGCCCTGGCCATAGGGGCACTTGGGCAGTGTTTGCTGCCAGGCAGCTGCAGAGCGACCCAGGCAAAGGGTCCCTGGGGTGGCTGTGCAGGGGTGCAAGAGCAGAGCCCTCGCTGGGGCAGGGGGCTTGGACCCTTGGTGAGTGACAGCAAGGGGCTGTGTTTTGCTGCTGAGCTTGCACCCTCTCTAGAAGTAGCATTTCTGCATTTCTTAGGAGTGTTTAGGCAGCTCCCTGTTCAAACAGCCAGCAAGAGATGCAAGAAAAAAAGAAAAATAATTAACCTCAAGATGTTTTTGCTGCCTGACCCCGTTCCGTTTGCTTGCTAGCTTTCCCTTCCAGCCCCTTGGGGCCAGGAGCATCCCCAGGGGTGGGACTGTGTGAGCTCTCCCCTGGCATGCAGCGAGAGCAGGAGTTTGGGGTGCAGGACAGGGCATGGGAATGCCATGTGTAGTATCCGTGCTAGGCATGTGCTTTGGAAAGCTGTTGGATCTGGAAAATAACTGAGCAGACAAGTGGGAGTTCAGCAGTGCGGCTGGTGGAAAAGAGGCAGGTGAAAAAGGGGAAGAAGGGAGCTAAAGAGGCCATGCGGTGGGACATGGATGTGTAAATTGTGTGGCTCTCATCAGCTTGATCTACGGGAGGTATTTGTTATAATGGAGCCAACTCTCCATGAGGAATGGCCTTTTCCTGCCGAAATTGAGACTCTTGAAGGAGGGAGAGGTTTCGCTGGCGTTGGTGCGTGCTCCTGCCTCGGCCCTGCGGGATTCACACCCCTTCCCCGCACGATCCAAAGGTGACATAAACACTCCTCCTCGTCTGCCTTTGAAACTGCTCTTTTAAGGGCATGGAAGGAAAAGTAATTGTACAATCAAAGCTGCTAGAAAGCAGTGGGGATTACGGGGGGCTGTGCAGAGGGGCTCATACATCCCTGTCCAGAGGGGTAAACCATATATACACACTTGTGCACCAGCAAGGTCTTTCTTCAGCAGGGTTAGACAGTCTTGTCCAGTTCCTAATCACAAGCCCACTTGAGCTGTTAGCAGTTCCTTTAAACAGGGATTTGTTCTGTTTAGGCAGACTGTCCTTGTTGAGAGCAGATGGTTTCTGTTACTGGATAATATTTCAAAAGAAAGGGGTTTCTCCTTTTCTGCAATGCCCCCGTTATTGCTTCTTTTTTGAGTCCTCTCCCTCCTGCCTTTTTGCAATTTAGCCTGAACACCAAATAACATGGTTAAACACAGCACAGAGGCAGGATCCCCTTCGGCTGCTTGTCCGGGCTCTCCTCCTCTTCCCACTCCCTGTTTTCTCAACTTTTGCATCTCCTTCTTTCTGCAGCCCAATGACCCGGTGACAAACATATGCCAGGCAGCGGACAAGCAGCTCTTCACACTGGTGGAATGGGCCAAGAGGATCCCCCACTTCTCCGAGCTGCCCTTGGATGACCAGGTCATCCTGCTCCGAGCAGGTGAGTGGGAAGTGTCACCACATGGGGACCAACAATGAGCCCCATGGGGGCTCTAGTGTGGTTATATCTTAACTTACATACAAGTGAGAGGTATTAGGCTTAGATTTAGCAACTTGAAAGCCATTAGCTGTTTCTGAATAATAGCCCCTGATTATTCAATTGCCAAATAGGTTTTAAGAAGCCCCAAGGGATGTGTTACTGAATGTGCTCCAAAATGTTGCACCAGCTGCCAATCAGCTGAAAAACAGCCCGGCTTCATCTCTGAGGCTCTTGGAGGTGTGTGGTGGGTTATTTAAATCAAGGGAACCATGCACTATCTTCCTCCCAAACAGAAACTTGAAAGAGAAGTGGGTTTGGGACGCCGTGAAATCTCAAAGATGTTTGATCATAATTAAAAACAGAAAGGGGAGAAAAACATGTAGCCCTCCCTCTCCCACCCACCAAGATGAAAATAAAATTCTCCAGGCTTATTTTAAATTTCCTTGCGCTGGAGGGAGTCTGCAGGGATGGAGGCTTGGGGAGGTTAAAAGCAGTTAGCTGTGAAAAGGGCCTTCTTCCATTAAGTAAATTCAGGCTCCTATTGCTGGCAGATTATGCACAAAGACCAGGGAGGGCAAAAAATCAAGGGCAGAACTCGACAAGGCTGTGTTTTAGGCATGAAGCTATTTGCATAGCTCCCATCGTCAGAGAAGTGATTAAGCAGGCTGCGGCTTGACACGGTGGAGGATTTTTCTAGCTTAAACAAAGGGGAATTCAAGTTGTCGGTGGGACATGTGAAACCACTTCCATTAAATGGCAAACCTGATATGAAGGATGAAATCGGGAGGGGAAATGAAAAGGCTCTGACAACTGGGTGTGATGCCCGATTCGCAACTTGGCAATTGAAGGCAAAAAAACCTCTGGACTACTTGAAGGCAGGAGTTAAATGGACTTTTTTTGTTTGTTTTTTTGAATAGAAGTGACTCCCCTTCTACTTTTAACATTTCTTGTTTCCCCCAAAGTCATTTTTATACGGATATTTAGAAGGGGAAAACCTGCAGAGTGTGTGCTCCTCTCTGACCTCGGTGTGACGGCCTTTATAGAAGAGCTTTTTTTACTTTAATGCCAGTATTTCTGATTTCTTACTGTTTGGAAGCTGTATGTCACAAAATAGTTGCCTGTGCGTTTGGGCAGCAAAATTTATTAAGAATCAAGGCCCCAGGTGTTCACTTCACCAGAAAACTGAGAACTGCCAAAACAGGCTAGTCCATGATCTATTTGTCCAGGTAGTTGCAGAAAAAGGGAAAAGGCCCCCAAAGCTTGAAGATGTTGGGATTGCTGTTTTCCTCCCTCCTACCACATAACACTAATTGTCACTCTGTTTTTTATTTTTTTTAATTGAGGATGACTGTAGCCCAAATGCATGAATATTGATATTTCTGCATTTTTTTTCATTGGCCATTAACTGTCATAATTGCATATCCTGACCCTTTATCCAAATATCCGGTTCCTCCTGGAATCCCAGTGAAATCCTTGGCCTCAGTGGTTTCTGGGCAATGAAGTCCCTCTATTTACTGGTGTAGAATTTCCACTCCTCTAATTTGCTAAAATGCAGTGCTAAAGTTGCGTGTTTTGTCTCGTGGTTGCAGCAGTTGTCTGGAAATGGGGAATTTGGGGGGTTTATTACCCTTCTGCATGAGCTGAGAGCCTGAGTCCTGTGTTCCCGCTGCTGCAGGTCCCCTGGCACAGGGCTGGGTGCGTTTTTGGGGCTCTAGAGCTGCTTGTTGAGAATGAGTGGGAAGTATCCAGGGAAATCTCTGGCGTGAGAGCTCTCTGCAAACACTGCAAGGAGGAGCCGACCTCGCACGGAGAGCTGTGTTGCACTCGTGTCAAACAGGAACAGAATCCACAACAGCAGTGCAAGGTTTTGTTTTCCGTGTAGAAAGCAGCTAATAAATTCCAAATCCGAGCCTTGATGACCTGATATTCTTGTCTTCATGTGGTTGCATATTATTTTCTAAAATAATTCCCTGCTATTTTTTTTAGCTTGTTCCATATCAAGCCTATCTAGTGCTGAAGTCAAGGCTGCAGCCCCTTTTCGGGATGTTTTTGTACCCGGACAGGGGCTCCAGGGCTGCCTGATGGGGAAGGGGGCTGTGGACCTTCCGCATCCTGGCGATGCATCCGCTGCCGTGGCCTCCGTGCCGGGATGGGCTGCAGCTGGCAGGGAAGAACACCGGGAACAGTCGGAATGGGCTCGGCTGGGGCCTCAAATAACCTCCCTGCAAAGTCTTTTAACCAGTGGCTCTATCTATTATTAAGTGCAGAGAGCGGCCTGTGGAGAACAGCTGCCCATGAAATATTTAAGTCTTAAAATTTAGCTAAGAGCATTAGTCAGGTTCATTCATGCATCCTCTGAGGCAAAATGAAGTGGGGCGCACGGCTTTGGATGTGCCAGCACTGGCTTTCCTTGGTAATCCTGAATCATTTACAAATCTTTGCTGTGGAATTTTTGAAGGAGAAGGAAACCCACCTTTTCCAAGCCTGTTTTCCTCATATTCCTCCTTTTCCCCCACCAAACCTGCCACGATTGAGGTAGTTACCTGCAGTTAGTTTACTAACTCAATTTGCTGCCTGTGGTTGTACTTAATTTCCCCCTACTTCCCACCCTGTCCCTTCAGCTCATCAGCCCTTTGGGACAGGGATTCTGTGCCAAAAAGTGCTGGATTTGGGCTTGTTTCAGCCCAAACGAGCTGCAGGGCGGACCTGTATGTGGAATTGCTGTGGGTGCACCTGTATGGACAGCGGGAAGCACCTAGAGCACCTTTTTGTGGTCTGGTTCCAAGAGGAACCCAGCTCGGGAGGCTCCTCGTGTCCCGTATCCTCCGGCTTCTCCCAGTATTTCACAGTGCTGCAATCCCTGTGGAAGTGCCAGGCCCCACCTCGTGAACAGCCAAATAAATGTTCGCTTGATTGGGGTGGAAACGTCCTGTAGCCACTTAGGAAGGAGTGAACTTTATTCCTTGTCAACATTTCTAATGGCACAACCCATCCCTGTGCCAGTGGGTAAACACAGCACACATGGACCTTGAGTTTATTCCTGTGCTACAAGTCTCGGGCAGCAAGAAAAGGCAGCAGGAGAGTTTCTGCAGCTGGAGAGCAAATGAAGGATACTGATGTCTTGCTTTTCCACCATGGAAAAAAGGCAAAAAAAAAAAAAAAAAATCGGATGTCCTGAGATTCCTGGACCCAGCCTAGCAATTTTTGTCCTGGACTTCAGTGTTTTCAGACCCTTATATCAGCCCCAGGAGGAGTGAGAGACTCTCCAGGGTTACATAAAACCTATCTCGTCTCATCGCAGATGCCTGCTTGGAAGTCATTGAAATTTCAACCCTTTGAGCTGGCTTGTTTTGAGTTTGTTTCTGACACTTCTAAACTCAGCTGGTAACAAATTAAAGAAATTGAAAAAGTGTGAAGTTTGAATAGGAAACTGGGAGGGAAGTCATTTCTTCCTTCTCTTTCCAATTTGTAACTAGTTCAAGCGACTCCCTTGGTGTCCAGGCTTAGGGGCTGTCTGAAGTGACACATGCAGTAACAAATAGGACAAATGCTGCTTTTCAAGCAGCTCTGGAAAGCTGTTGGTGACTGTGTGGGAAGGACCTTGGTGGACCAGGCCTGGGTGTAGGACCTCCGTGGAGCAGTGCAGGGCAACCATGGGCCTGCAGATGGGATTCACGGCTGAAATAGGTGGCCAGAGGAACCAAATCTCAGCAGGAGTTTGCATGGTCCATGTTTACACGGTTGAGTCACGGCGAGTGAACTTGTGTGCCTCGCTGTGGCTTAGAAAAAAGCCTAATTAGCTTTTAGAAAGCTTTAATAACTCCTTAACTGCTACCAGGCACGGAGTGTAAGGTCAGATCACGGGTACAAGGCCCCACACCCACTTCACAGGTTGATATGGAGAAGAGTGGGGTGGAGAGCTATTTGCAGTAGTGCCTGCAAGGGCTATAAAGGAAATCACTTCCTTTATTATGTTTTTAGTGCTTTGGTTGCTTACGGATTCCTCTTCCTTTCCTAACATCCAAGGAAGGGTTGGGTGTCAGGGAAGGTTCTCCCACTTTCCAACATCTAGCAGCTTCCTTTGGCCTGTAGCAAGGGCAGGTTTTTAGTGATCACCTCCTCTCTCCGTAGGGAAGAATAGTGCCAGAGAAGTAACCCTGCTGATCCCTGCACCTCCTGACGACCCCGTGGCTCTAACCCGCGCCCTTGGTTGTTTTCTCCTTCCCAGGCTGGAATGAGCTCCTAATCGCCTCCTTCTCCCACCGCTCCATAGCCGTGAAGGACGGGATCCTCTTAGCCACCGGCCTCCACGTGCATCGGAACAGCGCCCACAGCGCTGGCGTCGGGGCCATTTTTGACAGGTGGGAAGACGATGGGGACGGGTGGTGGCACCTCAGTCCAACTTAGACATCTCTGTCCCTCCATGGGTCTCCCCATGGCATGTGCTGCCCGTTCCCCATCTCACAGCCTGTTGGGGGGACAGGTGGAGGTGGGTTGCCCATAACATCTTGGTCAGAAGAGCCCAAGGTGAGGGGTGTCCATCCACAACGTTTCCACGTTTGCTGCAGGCGGGAACATTAAACATGCAGAAACGTACAGCCCAAAATAGTCACCGAGAGGAATGCCCGGTGTAAATCAAAGCCCCTTCATGGGGTCCAGATGGCTTATAATGTTATGATTAGGCCACTAATTTATTTCTTTTCATCTTTAATTGGATGAAGATATGGTTATATTTTCACCCAGAGTACCCAGCGGGTTCCACATGCATGTGCCAAGGGCTGCTTTTAATCTTATGCTTTGGAAAAGTGTGTCAAAGCAGCAGCTTCCAGGGTGTGTGACCCACAGTGTGGCTCCAGGCACTGCTTAAATCGTGGCCGATTTCTTTAGCCCAGACTCATCCTGGGCCTGGCCTAGTTAAAACCAAAGCACCTCAATTCTTTGCTTTGCAAGGAAATTGCTCTTCAGACCTGGGTGACATCATTTGTTTTCTGTGAGGTCATGAGTGCAAGATCGTGACTTCACTGCAAGATCCAACAGGAAAACCTGGGCAACGAGTGGAAAATATTTCAAGATCAGCACCTGCAGTAAGAGCAAAGGGACTAATAAAAATTACCGGCAGAGGAAATTGCTTTTAGATACCTGTTTTTTTTTTTAATTTATTTTTAGGTACTTTCTCTAGTGCCAGGGCCTCTCAGTGAATGTATGAAGCCAGCTCATATGTTCCCTGTTGTATCTCACAGGAACTATTGATGTTCCTAATTAACTATTTTTGATACAGGAGGAAAATGAGGGCGTTTTCCTGAGCTGGTAGAAATGAGCCCTATCCCATGACTTCATTAAACACATCCCAGAGGACCTCGCTCTGGGTCTTGACACCTGGTTTTTCATTTCTTTTTAAGACTGACACCTGTGATTTTTGTGTGTGTGCTTTGCAGAGTACTGACAGAACTCGTGTCGAAAATGCGAGACATGCAGATGGACAAGACAGAGCTGGGCTGCCTGCGAGCCATCGTGCTCTTCAACCCCGGTGCGTGCACTTGCCTTCCCTCTCACCTCTCCAGCCCTTTCCTGGCGGATTCCGAGTCCTTTGGGCTCCTCCTTTTGTTACCTCCAAGCCCCTGTAGGCACCAAACCCCAAGAACAGGGAGAGGCAGGAGAGATGGGTGTGAATAGTGACAAATGTGACTCCAAACTCCTTTTTAAGACAAATCTAAGATTAGGGCAACGTTAGAGCATGGATATTATTGTCCCTATTTCCCGATCTCAACATCTTGGAGACTTTATTTGCTGGCTTTTGCGATCAATCGCCCGAAGAGCCTGGAAAGGGTGAAGGTTACAAAACAGACTCATAAAATACACAAGGTGACAGGCAGGAACCTTTTTGTCCACAACTTGTAACTTTTTTGCCCTCAATTCTGTAAAAACGGTTTCACATGAGATCATTAGGGTACCAACCTTAGAATCTATGGCCACCTCATCTACCTACACCCTGCTCTTTGCAGGGAGGACGTGTTGTGCACGGACACTGTCCCTTCTTTGCTTTGTTCCCACCCTGTTGAGACCAGTTTGTTCTTGCAGGATGCAGTGACTGCTTCTTGTTTTTAACTTTATTTTTATTGCAATCAGCAGTAATTTATCGCCTGTAGTTTGGGAGTAGCCTTGTATGGTAAAAGAAGGGGAAGCTGGAGCGTTTCCCATCGTGCCTGGCCTTGGGGATGCCACTTGCCTGTCCCTTGCACCCTACTAAAAACAGCCCCAGCTTCTCCTCCCATTGCAGCCCCACTGGGAGGGCTGCAGGGGATTAGGATTGCAGGTGGCACCAAATCATGGGGGAACTGCCAGGACAGGGGCTTTTCCTTCAGCCCTGCCATGGTGCTTCAAGGGGGAAATTCCACAAGCCCATGACTTAGGAGGGAGCTAAAACCTTTGGCTGAGGTTCTGCAGCCACTGAATGGGCCAGAGGGGTTTGGGATTTGTCCCATCTGGTGAAACAGAACAGGGCAAACCTGTGGGGTCTTGAGGGGTTAGGAGAGTGCCCCAGATAATGTTGGGCTGAGACCTTCAACCGCAGAAAGGCTCCGTACCCTGGTCTGGTTGGTGGCCAGCAGGGTAGGGGTGGCTGCACAGTCACCTGGCCGCGAGTCCCGTCCTTGCCTTTGCCTCCCCGCAAAGCCTCCGAGTTCCCATCCCTTTCGGCTCACGGTCTTCCCGTTGCTTTGCAGACTCTAAAGGTCTCTCCAACCCGGCCGAGGTCGAGGCGCTGCGGGAGAAGGTGTACGCGTCGCTAGAGGCCTACTGCAAACACAAATACCCCGACCAGCCCGGCAGGTGAGTGCTGCATCCTCGCCAGCGGCGTGGGCCTCCTGCAAAGACTTGCTGGAAGCTCTGCTGCTGCTTGGCAGGGCTCCAAGGGCCCATCTTCCAGGTTATAGCCTGCTGCTCCATGCCCATCAGCACCGGCCCCCTTATATTCCCAAGCCGCCTGCGTGTGGGTAGCGCTCTGCAGAGAAAACTGTTTGTTTTTACCTTCTTCTGCTGTGGACAACCTTGGAAAACAGTGAAGGGGAGAGATGTGTTAGCAAATGGCAGCGAGGCGCGGGGAGCAGTGCAGCTGGTCCAGCAGTGAAGGTCACTGGTCAAGGCATGACGAGACCTGGAGCGTCCTGGCTCCCGCTGCTGCAGCAGTGGGATGAGCACATGGGGGAATGGGTATCATTTCCCTTTTGGAAACCACTGAGAACAAACCACAGCAAAAACAAGACACACACGGAGTTAATTTTCAGTGGCAGATGAGCATCATTGCTGGGAAGTGAAAGCCTCAATTGATGCTCTCTTCTCCCCTCCCCTCCTCCCCCAATCCAGCTGGGAATGGGAGGGGGAATTAGGAATGCTTTCCTGGACGGCTCCGAAGCTGAGTGGGCGCATTTTCCCAGTTACAGCCCGAAGTTGGCAACTGCCAGTTAAGTTACTGACAGCCTTTTAAGAAACCAAGCAAAGCGCTGGAAACTGCTGCTGGTATCACTGCCGAGGCGTAAATTTGGGGAAAAACAGCCCAAAGCAAGTAGGATTTGCATCTCACCTGCATTCCTGGCCTTGCTTATCGGGATGTTCTGTTTCAAAGGCTGCTCTTAGAGCAGGGAATTCAGATCACTGCCCCACCACTGTGCACATCAGGGTGCTGGCAGCCGAGAGCAGACTGTTGTTCAGGGGCTTCTTGGACATTCACACTTGGGTTGCATGGAGGGGAAAGCTGGGATGAAGATACTGTTGGGTGTTTCTGGTTTTTTTTTGTGGCTAGGAGGGGAAATGAGTGATGGTCGTGGTGCATAGAGCAGGGATGATGACCTCTCCTCCCTCTTTAGCTTGCTCAGATCCCAGGCCAACTGTAAAGCTCTTCCTTTAAGGCATTATTAAATTGCTCCTCCCAGCACATCCAGATCCCGACCTTTGGCCGTTTGGATATTTCGGAAGAGTTTTTTTTTCTCCCCTTGGGGCTTGGACCGCGCGGCCAGCCGCAAACGGCACAGGGAGAGCTGCGTTTGGAAATCCAGCCAGGAGCTCTCCTGGAATATTTCCCCCATGGGAAGCGCTCTCAGCTTTGAACAGGCATCCAGTGTCCGTGGCCGCATCCCGCGGCTCGTGCAGCTCCTGCGGGCTGGGATGGGACAACACAGGGACGAGTCCCGGCAGCGCGTGGCCCCTCCGGTCACCGCTTCCAGTTGTCCCTGCTCTTCATTCCCAATCCATCACGAAGCGGCCTCGCAAAAACTGCAGAGACGGGGTCCAAATCTGCTCCCCTGGGTGCTCCATCCGTGATACAGAGGGGAGCAGCTTCGATCCAGCAGCCTGGACGTGGGCTCTTGAGGGATCATCTCCCACTGGCTTTGGAAGACCCTGGGCTGGGCAGCTTGAGCCTCAGTTGCCCTCCGTAAAGGGGTCCCGTGCCCCGTGCTCTAGGTGACCCTGCGTGTGCAGGGGGTTGGACTAGATGATCTCTAGAGGTCCCTTCCAACCTTAAGCATTCCATGATTCTGTGATCTTGACACCTTTTTGGCAATGGGCTTTAGGGGTGGCGCAGTCGGGCTGTACCCGAGAGCCCCGGTGAGCCCCGGGGACACAGGACAGCGGCGGAGCCAACCCGGCTGGCCCGGGAGGGTTAATCCGCAGCCTGGGAATCCGGAGTTGCACAATAGCTGGAGGAGGGCTCCCTGCATCCTCCTGGGCTAATGGCACAATGTGATCACCAGCTGGGGCTGGAAACGAGCTCTTCCTGCGGCGGAGCGAGCGCGGGGTCGAGCCGGCGCCGCTGCCCAATCTCCAGTGCCCTTTGGAGCAAAATCCCAACTAACTAACCCATGAGCGAGGGCTTGCGAGCAAAGTGTGAACACAGGGGCACCCAAAACAAACTCATCCGCAGCAGCGAGACAAAGGAAAACATTCCCAGGACAAACTGCCGCCCCCTCCTCCTCGGACACGGAAGGGTGTCCGTGACGCGGAGCAGCCGCGGGGAATCGGGGCCCTTGGCTGTCCTGGCACGCTGCGCTGCGGGCTGGTTATCTCACAGTTAAATGTATCCGAGGGCTGGAGCCATCATCTGGTTTGGTTTAAAGTGAAACTTCCTGAATGGGATGGTAGGACTGATTTGTTTTTCCTGGCTCTTGTCCCACTGTTCTCTCCAGCTCAGCAAAAAAAAAAAAAAAAAAAAAAAAAAGAAAGAAAAAGAAGGGGGTAAAGAGAGAAGTGTCTGCATATCTGTCTGTATGTTTGTGCATGTCTCTCTCTGCGTATATATTTTTTGAGCCCCCTTCTCCCCGTGCTGGCCTGGTTCTGCTGCGTTGCTTATGTCTAAGCCGTGGTTGTGCAGCGGGAAAAGCAAATCCAGGTGCCCTTGGTGATGGAGGGGCCTTTCCTGCCCTCGGCGGGTGCTGGAGCAGCAGCCATGGGGACGCACGGGATGGGGACACCCCGTCGGGGTGCGGTGGGTGCAGAGCACCCCGTGGGATGCAATGGGTGCAGAGCAACCCGGGGTCCTTTCCGTGCTCCCCAGAGAAAGGGCTTTAGTTCAGGGGGGTTGGCCGAGCCCGGTACCCCCAGGGACACATCTGCTCGGAAGCCGCCGTCCCCCTTGGTCGGCTTCGTCCCCGCGGTGCCTCCCGCCTGGATTTGCGCCCTGCAAGCAGGCCCCGTGCTCAGCGTCTTCTTCATCCCTCCTCATCCTCGGGGCTGGCTCCAGCTCTCCCGGACCGGGCTGGAAGCGATGCCAGCCGCGTGCACCGCGGGATGTGCAGAGCCCGGCCCTGCGGCCCTCTCCACTCCTGGGCTGTGGCGCAAGGAGCCTCCAGGCGAAAAAAAAAGTTTGCCGGAGGGGCCGGGAGCAGGACCCGCTCTGCAGGGAGCTGCCCTTAGCCCTTACTTTACTCTCCCAATTTTGCTTCCAGCTCTATTTTGTGAGCGCCCTCTTTGCCACCTCAGCCAGATCCTCGCTTTCCTCACGCGTCACTTTCCTGGCTTTATCCCCTGCTTTTGGTAGCAGGAGAGGTCACCGCAGCCGTGCCGGGCCCTTGGAGCCGGAGCGCTGTCGGAAGCTCCGCGGGTCTCGGCCTCTCTAACCATGCTGTCTCCTGCCCTCCCCAGGTTTGCCAAGCTCTTGCTCCGGCTCCCTGCGCTGCGGTCCATCGGGCTCAAATGCCTGGAGCACCTCTTCTTCTTCAAGCTAATAGGCGACACGCCGATCGACACCTTCTTGATGGAGATGCTGGAAGCGCCTCACCAAATGACTTAGAGAACTGGCCCTGGGTCAGCGCCCGCACGGGGCCTCCTGGGGCTCCTTCCTCCGCTTTCCTCCTCTGCCGCCCCGGCCCCTTCCCTGCCTCCCGTTCCCGATGCTGGAGACACCGTCTGCTCTTCTCCGTCCGCTCCCGGGGCGGCACCCCGAGCTCCTCGTCACGTTCTCCCCCGTTCACTTGCTCTCGCTGCTGCGCCCGAAGATCCGGTATCCGTTGGATGTTATGCAAGCGGGAAGGGAGTTTTGTCACCGGCCGTCGTGGCTCTGCCCCTCGCCCTTCCTCGGGGCTCGGGTTTTGGGACCCCCCGGGGCTGGCGCTGGGCACCGTGCCAGCTTGGCCCTATGGACAGCAGGGCTCGCACGAGCTGCGGGGGACGGTTTAACTCGCTGGATTGCAGCTGGCTATTTTCAGAGGATGGAGTTTTTGAGAGAGGAAAAAAAAAAAAGAGGAAAAAAAATCTATTTTTGGTTTCCAGCTATTCTTAGTAGTCTGAGCAGTTACTTTTCCGAGGGAGAGGCAGCCCGGCCGTGCCCCGCGAGTGAGTCACGGGGCTGCCCATGCTCCTGCTCCCGATGCGGAGCGGAGGGATCGGGGTCGATCCTGATCCCCCTGCGCAAACCAAGGGCTGGACGGGAAGACGAGCAGGGATGTGCACGGACGGACACACGGAGCCCCGGCGCGGAGGGCAGCGCGGGACGGTGGCAACCGCGGAGGCTCCGTTTGCTCCGGGGCTCTCGGGATGGAGCCGATGGCCGCTCCGGGTGCCCTGTGCCGCAGGGATGCGGGAGGCCGGGATGGGCAGGGAGGCTGCCCCCGTTTCGGGAGGCTGCTCCTGTTTCGGGAGGCTGCTCTCTCCCACGTGCAGGAGTTGCCGTTTGCATGTGGCAATTTGCGGGCGGGCTGGGCCG